AAATATCTCCTTACTGTTTCCCCCTGACGCATTTATGGTAATTACTTTTGCCGATGCTTTGCGGCAAGCTTAAGCCTATTGCGTGCATTTGAACGCAGAACTCTTCAGCTGCGCTGACGGCACACACCATACATACTGCTGCTGGACACTAAACACCTTCGAGCCGCTCTTGACAGTCTCGGTAGCACGGTCTCATGTTATTTCCACCAGTGCGGCAATTTTTTTATCACTAATTGATGGATGTCTAAAATATAAAAATACGGAGAAGCCTAAAACAGGCCAGAGGCCCGGCCCACGTCTGAACTATGACGTGAAAATTTTCCCGAAGTCCAGCCCGAGGGGCGTAAAAAAAAGTCGGGGCCCGTCGGGCCTGGGCTGAAATGCAGGGCTCTAGCTCTGATCTAGCACACAGAAAACGATTTGACTGAAAATTTATCAGAAGAGATGAAAGATAGATATTGGTCATCTACGCAATTCAGAAAACATACCTTTTCTGCATTAGGTATGTTTTTTTTTTCTTTCTTTTTTTTTACTCTTTGTACAGCAGTTATTGTTCATTCTAAATTTTTTGAATGTAGAATATGTGTTACATAAATACATGAAATGTAGAGCATATAAAAAAGTGCTCGTGGCTCGTCTGCCAGTGGGTGGTTGTGCTGTTACTCCTTTCGAGCCGAAGTTCACAAAACTGGGTGTTATTTATGGGGAGTAGAATTATTTATTTATTTCAATGAATGTAATCGATTAGATATCATAATATTTAGGCTATAATATTATAAATTAGGTTGGTTTGAATTACTGACGTAATATGTAAATGATATGCATGCGGCCCGCGAGACTTGCACTTGGACCATAGTGCGGCCCGGTGGAAAAAAAGGTTGAGAACCACTGATCTAAATGAATGAAGCTCAAATAATAAATATGAAATAAAACTCCTATAAATAAGAGTTAGTCTGATATGTCTGAATTTACTCACGCATTCTTCCTCTCTAGATTCTGTAAGTTTCCCTTCAGGTTGTTGTAGGCTGACGCTCGAGCCTTCAGGTCGTTGTCGATCTGTGAGACTTGCTGTTGAACAGCAGGGGCAGCGAGTTTCATTTAAAACAGCATCTGAGGCGTCATTCAATCACCAGAACGGCCTAACTCCGTATCAATAATAAATAAGGCTGAGATTTATATCAAATATGCACAAATATGACCAACGAGTGACAAAATCAGAAGAAACATTGTGAATATTGCAATGACTTTCATTTTACTCTCAGCAGCGAGTGCTACAAGTACGGTCATTGCAGATTTTAGTCCCAAAATTCACATAGAAATCATTGGATCAGATCACTTGCCTTGGATACAATCTCAGAAATGTTCTTCAAGGATTGTTTGATAGGGTACTTGGCCATGTCCCACTGGAATCTTGTGACGTAGGTGACCAGATCGACTAAAACACAACAAAGAAAACGAGAATGAATGCAACAAAACCGGCACCAGCGTCTGATCATTTCATACCACAGATACCAGTGACTCTCACCTCCATTAGCCAGCAGGTTCTCCTGGACTTTATCTCGACTGTCCTCCAACACGTCTGCCATGTACTGAGCCACCTTCTTCACCACACTGTGAACGGCATCAAAAGACATCACAGCCCTCCGAAAACTCTCTCCAATCCTCCAAAATGGGACATTCTCCAAGACACAGAAGTCATCAAAACATCACACATATCGGATGATTCAGAAACGCTGAGGTGTCCAAGAAACCTAGTTTCATTTAGCAAAATGGCTTCTGATAACATCAAAATAAAACTTTTTTTAAAATGTAGAATTTGCCAAACCAGGCAAAAATAAAATACAGGAAATATATCAGACACATGGTCTGGAGATGCTCCAAAATGACTTCTGTGCATGCAACTCAGGATTGATTATGTTAAAATAACGTAAGGCTGACAGTAATATTACCAAAACAATATCAAAGCTCTGAGGCAAAACTTTAATTGAGGAACATTTTTGACTTTTAAATGAACAGGAAAAAATAGAATCTCACATCGAAGGATGAGCTACAAGTCATGCAATTTAAACATGATCGCAAAAAGGGAAGCTAGCACGTCACCAAACTGCTAATAACTAATTTTAGGCAGATGCTGCAGTAATCTCACCTCTATATGAGATTCCTCACCACACAAAAGTAAAGAAACGCACGCAAGGAGTTTTGACTGAATTCTGACCATTGATATGTCATTGCTAGAAAACACAACAACTCAAATCTGCAAGATATTTGATTCTTTTAGGCAGAAAGGCCTTAAAATTTGTATTATTATTATAGTCAAGCATCACTATTACTACACTGAAAAAATGTAGTATAGAAACTATTTTCATTCAGAAATGACTCGTAAAAAAGAAAAAAAAAGTGACATTTTGAAGTAGAAATACTGAAATAATCTCTTGTAGTTTCTCCACTAATCCTGGTTTTATTTACAACTTTAAAAAATTTGTTACACTTTATTTTAAGGTGTCCTTGTTACAGTGTAATCATCATACATTTGAGTACTGAGTAATATTAATTAATTATGTGTACTTACTATATGGTTAGGGTTTGGCTTAGGGTTACTTGCATGTAATTATGCATAATTTGTTGTTATTATAATAGTAAGTAGATGTAACGTGAAACAAGGACACCTTAAAATAAAGTGTTACCAAAAATCTAGCATATTTAGGGTGAGCAACTCAAAAGCCCTAACCCTAAGTGTTAAAGTTTGGTGCATAACTCAACCCACACATTTTGTGTAACAGATAAGAATGATTACAGTTTAAGAATTTCATCTGATGGACAATAAACCCCCCAAAAATCCATATGCTGAGATTGAATGAGGGACCTAGAAAGCCTAGAATCTAAAGATGGAGGCTTGGGAGTCAAGATCCACCTGTTTATTTGGGACAGAAAGCACCCTAGCAACCACCCATAGCATCTTATAAAACACAAAAATATCCTTAAAACATCCACACACTGTGAATATTCATTTTGCGTGAAAACTGTGAAAATACATTGGAATTGCGGTGCTGAATGTAAGCTTTACCTCTCGACAAAAGCGTCCAGCTTGGCCAGCTCATCAGACAGCCCCACTAGGACATCTAATGTCCCGACCTGCAGCGTTTAGAGAAGAGAAACACTTTGATCACCATCCAGTATAATGAAGCAATACAAACACAGCCAGGCTGGATTTGATCAGCATCGGCTCGTAGAGACATCAGGGGCCTCCGGCGCTTAGAGTGGCGCCGCCTCTGTTCTCATCCTGTCAGGCGGAAAGTGACTGGTCAAGATGACACAGGCCAGCAGGGTCACTGGACCCTGGGCAATAGGAACGAGACTTATGCATTTGCTCTGAAAAAAGCTCATTTTAGTTGCAATCAGAGGAATCGTGCATGCAAAATACCACATAAAGATAGTGTGAACATTTTAAATTTTAAATGCTGCAAACAAATTGTTGTATTGAGAGTTTTGAAATTGAGATTGCAATAGAGTGCATTAGCGCCCGTCCACTTTATCAGCAGCATTGGTTCTGGAAGTATTTTTGGTTTCACTTTATTTTGATGGTCCATTTAACACATTGTGTTAACTGTAAGTAACATAGCACCTATATGTCTACTAATTCTCATTAGAGTGTTAGTAGAGTATTAGTAGAATGATAGGATTATGGTTAGAATAATTTATATGTACTTGCAAAGTTACTTATAGTCAGTAGAATGTCTGTTTGGAGACCATGACAATAAAGAGATATTAAGCAGACAGTCTACTAATACTCTAATGAGAGTTAGTAGACAAGTAGGTGCAACGTTACTTATTGTCAACAGAATGTTCAAAAGGGACCATCAAAATAACATGTTTCCATTCATTTTTTCCAAAGGGGTTTTTAAAAAGTCTTTGTTAAAGCATTATAAGACATGAACCAAGCAAACCAGCTACGAGGAGAATCACAATGTTACAAACTTTGATTTGAAGCAAAAACTTTGAAATTCAGATAAAAAAGACAAAGGTACAACAAGACTATGTACTTTACAGCTTTGGTGAGAGAAAGAACTACAATCCCATGAAGCATTGGAATGACATAATAATGGTAAACTATAAAACTATTCATTTAGAGTTGTTGATTATATCTTTAGAAACAAGTTTATTGCAATATATATATATATATATATGTGTGTATGTATATGTATATACACACACACACACAAATATTTACGTATGTTGACAGCATAGCAAGACTGACTTGATTATATCATTACAACAAATGTGCTTCATGGGAGTGGGCGAAGCTAAAAAGTCCTTTAATGCAATTTGACTCCCTTGATTGGTGGAATTTTCTGAACAGCATCATGGGTAATGTAGTTTTCACCACAAAATCCAGCTGTTACACATGATAATTAAAAAAAAAAAATGAATGGATGGTTTCCACAAAAGCATGTACCATTGATTAACAGCCTTGGAATTCACAGTAGGTTTGTCTTTATAAGGTTTACAAGTTATAGTTAAATATCCATTTCCCAATGGAGAAAACAAATTAGTTTTTACTTCCAGAACCTGACTGTGGCACCCCATTGAAAACAACAAATAAAGAAGAAATCGGTAATGCCAGAGCCTGAAAGGCTGCTCCGCTCAGACTGTAGAAAGAGGAAGAGGAAGAGGAAGAGAATGTGACCTTGAGATCGGGAATGTTGAACTTGTTGTTGGTGGAGAGGTTGTTGGTGCGAGTTGTGGCGGTCATTATTTTGTCCCATGTCTGCTGGCAGGTCTTCTCTCCAGGAGCAGAAATCAACCAGAACTCGGTCATGGCTGCTGAGGAGCGACAAATGGAGAGTCTAAAGCAGAAAGAAATTAATATGCTCATTGAAATGTACAAACTCCATACTGCAGTCCACCACCAACTCTATCAAAGATATTTAGGGTAGTGTTTACAGACATTAAAATAAATACAGAATCAAGAAAATGCAACAAAACTTTCATTAATAAAAGCCTAAACAATTACACTTTTCTGTAATGCACATTTGTACTTGCCCTGCCAACATTTTCACTAGTCCCACCACCAAAAAAATTTAATAAAATAATTTTAGACGTTTTTGGAAAATAAACATTTGTAGTATTTAGGTGAGACACTGCAGGTGAATAGGGTAAAAAGCTTATTGCTTTTTGATTACTGATTGATTACATTGATAATTGCAAAAACATTTTGTATTACACGTTTTCTAAAATGTTAGGTTTAGATATGCAAATGAGTCATTATTTAATGTATAAAATAATTTTAGACGTTTTTGGAAAATAAACATTTGTAGTATTTAGGCGAGACACTGCAGGTGAATAGGGTAAAAAAAAAACTAATAGTTATCGCCTTACTTAACCAGCTGATTGATTACATTGATAATTGCAAAAACATTTTGTATTACACGTTTTCTAAAATGTTAGGTTTAGATATGCAAATGAGTCATTATTTAATGAAATATGCACTAATTTGCATACAGGTCTAGTACAAAAATCTAAACACTGGATGATGTCAGTTTCAAAATTCTGGTTTAATTTTTTTGGACATATTAGAGTCAAAAGTTTTTACAGAGGGAATCTCATTTTTGTCACTCCATAATTCAGAAAATGCTTAGAACGGACAGAAAACACTATATTTTCACAATTTTAGGGGATTAAAATGTTGTATATAATCAAGTTAATTCTATATGAACAAATCCCTCTGTAAAAACCTTCAGAATATAGACACAGGAATAAAAATGTCAAGTTTGGTGTGTGTGTGTGTGTGTGTGTGTGTGTGTGTGTGTGTAAGTGCTACTGAAGTGGAGATTAATGGCTCGGTGTAGGAGAAAAACTCATTTTGAGAAAATGGCCTTTAAAAATAATGTATTGTAATTGAAATCTATCGACACAAATAGATAAAAGTGCTATAAAAGAAACACTTAACAGTGTATTTTGGATGTTTTCTTTCCACTAGTCTGAAAAAAGACTTTATGAAAAACCAAAAAGCCCAAAATCTCAAACTTGACAGGTGCATGAAAAAAAAAAACAGTGTCCTCCCCTTAATTAAAATTTTAGGCTTTATTATTTTGGGATAAGAATGATATTTTATAGAGATTTCTGGCCTTGATTTCCACGTGCATGTCAGATATCAATCATGTGTATTAAAAGATTAAAATTCTCCTCATTGCTGTAAAGCACACAGAATTATTGGTGATAACTTGCAGACAAGTTTTCCTCTACAAAACAATATCTACCCGATTAAATATAGAACCAGAAACGTTTATAATGATAACAAATATTTTCAGTACTTAAAAATGGCAAAAATCAGCCCTGTAAATAAATATTTACTAATTTATTAAAGGGGTCATATGATGCATTTTTAAAGATCATTATTTTGTGTATCTGGTGTAACAGAATATGTTGACATGCTATAATGTTCAAAAAACACATTATTTTTCAAATACTGTACATTATTGTAGGTCCTCTATGCCCCGCCTCTCTCAAACGCTTCGTTTTCTACAAAGTCCCTCCTTCCGACAAGCGCAGTCTGCTCTGATTGGCCAGCTGACCCAGTGCATTGTGATTGGCCGAACACCGCAAGCACGCGTCGGAAATGTAACGCCCCTTACCATAATCGCGAGCTTCATCTTTCAAAATAAATGTAAAGACAGTAAATAATGTCATTAGTTTTACCATCAGTTCAAGCCCCAAAGGGGAACAGAGTCGCGTGACAGACACAGTGATGAAGCTGCTATGTGTTTGCAGTACACAAGCCACGGTTAAGACCGCTGACTCCACTGTGATGTGACTCTCTCTTGCTCTGTCTCTCTCTCTCTCCCTCTCGCTCTCGCTCTCTCTCTCTCTTTCTCACACACACACACACACACGCACACACGCACGCACACACACACACACACACACACGATGCGCAAAACTCCGCATTTGAACAGTCAATAGCGAATACTTAAACTAATAACAAAACAGTAGCTGATTCAGAAGCGCCAGATTGTCATAGCAAAGTCAGAATGACCTCCTCTCCTAGGTTCACGAAACGGTCGTCCATAAAATGCATTGCTGTTCTGTTGTAAGTAATCTTAAAGATTCCTAAATGCATCTACTTCCGGAAGACCAAATAAAGTGCTTTTGCTTTCGCCTAGAAACACACAGCGTCTCCCTGACATGCTGCTTCAACACTAACTGCGGTTACTGAAACCACGCCTTCTTTCTTTGCGTGCACATTTGGGCGCATTATGCAAATATGTCCACATAGTGAGGTAGATATGTGGGGGCGTGTTATTATATTGGTTTTGAGACTTTAGTCTTTGCAACTTCAGGGATCTTATCTATGCACAATCAGCTTGTAACACTCCAAAGAGAAAGGAAAACTTGAAATCGCCTCATATGACCCCTTTAATATTTATTCATTTAAATCCACGTTTTAAATATTATACAGAACTTCCCTTTCACATTTTAAAGTGCAAATAAATTTTGAATAAACTGTCATGTTATTTGACAACTAACAATATATGTTTAATGTCAGAACACATAAATCTGTGCACATCAAAGTAGCAGATCAGATTAATTGTGGACTTGATTGGATCATTTCCTCAAAATGAATGACAGACAGTCACGAGATGAAGCATCAGACCGGCCTTGAACGGACAGTGACCGACCAGAGTAATAATCTCATCAGATTTCAGATGTTTGATCAGTTTGAGGCTGTTACTGATTATGATTTTATATCAGGCTGCCGATGATTCAAACCATTCATAAACAAGCAATATTTCACACACGGTGCAAGAGAACTGGACAAACAGGCTGCATTCAAATCTGCACTACGCCACATTTGAGATGTCTATTATCAGTTAACAACCTGAAAACACAAGTGATTAATTATAAATCACATAAACATAAGAAGAACTCCAGACAGCGCTAATCCACGCTAGCAAATACAGCTAGCGTTAAATCTGCTAACGGTCGTTTCTCCGGCGGAGCTTACCTGATCTCAACGTGAACGAGACGACGCGACGATTACTTGGTAGTTTTAACTAAATAATTGTCAAAGGATCCGTCTTAGGATTTGATATTCATCATAATGACACTCCAGTGTTTCCAAAGGCTTCTCTCACGGTCAGCTGATGGGCTGCTGTGATCTGCGCATGCGCAGCCGCGGGCGACAGCGACACCTGGAGGCCTGTAGGCATTGTGGCAGCTGCTTTCTCCACTTCATTTTTTTATTTTTTATTATTGCATCAACTTTACAACCAAGCAAGGTACAAAATCACATTCCAGAATGCAACACATCTTGTTCAACCTTGGTTGAGCATAACCAAAAACAGAAAAAAAAAAAATAAATACATTAAAAAAAAAATGTACAAAAAACAAACACTAGCTTTCTATTTTTTCTATTCTATCTACTTGTTTTTCTTTGTTTGTGTGTGTCTGTGTGTCTGTGTGTGTGTATGTGTGTGTGTATAATATATATATATACACACACCTTGCTACGTGTACTGTGTTAGGCTAACCGACTGACTTGTCATTTGCACTTATATATTGTTGCTCTTTTGTTAGTTTTGATTTCTTCTATTGTCCTCATTTGTAAGTCACTTTGGATAAAAGCATCTGCTAAATGACTAAATGTAAATGTACATAAGATGCTTCAAAAATAAAATACAACAAAATGGGCTTTTAAATTAAATGATACCAATCCAAGAGAGAAGTCAACCAATTTGAAAGATTTGTAAGAGTTTTACCTCATTATACCATTGAATAAAGTTGGGTTTAGATTTAAACCATCTACACCTGTGAATAAAAAACTTCTCAAAACATAACAGGAAATTAATAACAAATTCAAAATCTTTGTGTTCAAGAAAAGTAGCAAACCTGACTATCTTCACATTGAGAGGCAGGAATTCAGCATCCCTGGCTGGAACATAACCAGTTTTGCGTCTCTCTCCAAAAAGCTTGTACCGTATCACACAAAAAAGAAAGCATGATCTAACGTTTCAATACGTGTTTCACAAAAAACACAATTATTTACATCAAAATTCAATTTCAGTCTTCTCGTTTAGAATCTTGAAACTCGCCTCTTTAGCTTTTGGAGGAGTGGGGAAAGACAAATCATTTTTTCTATTTCTTTTTTAAGTTTCCACCATATCAAAATCTTTAAACATGTATTGGGTTTGGATAACAAGCCTGTATAACACAATTTCTAATAACTCTATTAGTACATTTTTTCTCATAAATATCATAACCTTCTATGGAAAGTTGCCTCAATTCTGGGAAAACTTGGGAACTTCTTTAACCATTAATCTCAAAGCAACTGCAACAGTTCTAATCATTCTATTGTAAATATGAACTGCACTGCAGATGGACTCTCCCGCAAAACTCTCGAAGTAATAGCAGATTTTCATTCTCATCTAAAAAAGTGCAATAGCCCAAATCTCTGTGGATTTCCATTCCTCAAAAAACAGACTTTCTGCCTAACGTTATGTGTCTATTATACCAAACTGGAGTGTTATGAGGCATACAGTTATGTTTGAACTTTCTACACTTAAAATCAAATTTGATTTGCATGAGAACACTACATTTGTTTTGCACCACTGAGCCACCGTAGTACACAAATATACCATATTAAGAAAAAATGATAGGTAACAAAAACTTAATACAGGGAGGTTTTGATTTTTGTCACGTAAATTTACATTGCATAATGGGAAATCCCCCCCCCAAGCACTCTTTTTTTATACAGAAATATACAGCGGAATAATATAATTACATGTATACATTTTTCATAAATTATAATAATAATATATATATATATATATATAAATATACACTGTATACATATACTGTATATATGTATATATATCTTAATACATATATAAAGTATTGTTGTTTTTATTAATAACAATGATAATTTATATTATAACTAGTATTATAACTATAATAATAATTGTATAATTACATTAATTATATTTAATATTTTTTCTATTTTTTTTATATATGTGCGCAAATATTTTCTAGTAAAAATTACAGTTCTATGCTTTCAAATCATTTTAATTCAACTTGCGTTCAAATTTGAATTGCAAGTTTGGACCCTGTTTGCAACCTCAATTCAAATTCATTTCAAATTCAAGAATTGAATTGGAATTTTAAAAATGTGTGTGACTTCATTAAACATATTTTATATTCATTATATGATACATAATTATTTTTATTTTAATGTAACAAAAATACATTTTAATAAATAAGTATATTATTTATCTTTGTGTTCAAGAAAAGTAGCAAACCTGACTATCTTCACATTGAGAGGCAGGAATTCAGCATCCCTGGCTGGAACATAACCAGTTTTGCGTCTCTCTCCAAAAAGCTTGTACCGTATCACACAAAAAAGAAAGCATGATCTAATGTTTCAATACATGTTTCACAAAAAACACAATTATTTACATCAAAATTCAATTTCAGTCTTCTCGTTTAGAATCTTGAAACTCGCCTCTTTAGCTTTTGGAGGAGTGGGGAAAGACAAATCATTTTTTCTATTTCTTTTTTAAGTTTCCACCATATCAAAATCTTTAAACATGTATTGGGTTTGGATAACAAGCCCGTATAACACAATTTCTAATAACTCTATTAGTACATTTTTTCTCATAAATATCATAACCTTCTATGGAAAGTTGCCTCAATTCTGGGAAAACTTGGGAACTTCTTTAACCATTAATCTCAAAGCAACTGCAACAGTTCTAATCATTCTATTGTAAATATGAACTGCACTGCAGATGGACTCTCTCGCAAAACTCTTGAAGTAATAGCAGATTTTCATTCTCATCTAAAAAAGTGCAATAGCCCAAATCTCTGTGGATTTCCATTCCTCAAAAAACAGACTTTCTGCCTAACGTTATGTGTCTATTATACCAAACTGGAGTGTTATGAGGCATACAGTTATGTTTGAACTTTCTCCACTTAAAATCAAATTTGATTTGCATGAGAACACTACATTTGTTTTGCACCACTGAGCCACCGTAGTACACAAATATACCGTATTAAGAAAAAATGATAGGTAACAAAAACTTAATACAGGGAGGTTTTGATTTTTGTCACGTAAATTTACATTGCATAATGGGAAATTCCCCCCCCAAGCACTCTTTTTTTTATACAGAAATATACAGCGGAATAATATAATTACATGTATACATTTTTCATAAATTATAATAATAATATATATATATATATAATAAAATTAATAATTGTAATATTTTTTATGCACTGTTACAGTTTTTATCCATATTTGATTAATTTATTAATATTTAGATTTTGCTTTTATTTTTATATAATATTTTATTAATTAGTAATTTTTTCATGTGCTTTTGTCATTTATATTTTTTATATATTGCTGTTCTGCTATTTAGGTTTTATTTATTTATTTTTAGTGCTAGTTCAGTTTTATTTTCTATTTATTTCCAGTTAGTGACTTTAGTTATTTAACTTAATCTAAATAAAATATTACATACTTTTTAAATATGTATATGTTTAATATTTAATATTTTATTATTTCAGTTTATATATATATACATACAGTATACTGTGTGTGTGTGTGTGTGTGTGTGTATATGTATATATATATAAACTGAAATAAAAATGACAAAAACACATAACATTACTAAAAATTAAAATATTATATAAAAATCAAACCTATTTAGTAATAGTACTATTATTAACCCTATTAATAATAATACATAAATAATATAAATATATAATATATAAATATGAATAATAAATATAAATATTTAAACAATACAAAAAATATAAAAAATAAAAGCGATTTCAAAATATTAATAATTGTATATAAGATATAAATAATATAAATATTTAACAATAAAAAAAACAAAATTTTAATATATTTCTGTATATGTTTATATGTAGAATAAACAGCTGACTACTACTTTTGTTCATCATGCAGTTGCACACCTTTATGATCCAGCGGCCTGTGAATTTATGAAGCTGGCTTTCCCTGGAGGTTAAAGGCAGGAATGCCCAGTCAGCAGCCGGCGAGGGAGGCACAGCGGTCTTTTTTTGGATAGGAGTCCCTCTTCCTGGCAGCGGGTGTCCCCCACCCTGAGTTCGAGGAAAAGCCCACAAAGGGATATGTTTATGGAGTTCAGTAGGTCTGGGGTGCATTGTTTGGGATACAATGCCGGGACTGGCTGGAGCCAAACCCCCAGATCAAACACCAGGGTGGGCTGCCCATGACTGGCCGGCAGCCAGACCGATAGGGACATGTCTGGGCACGCGTGCTCTAATCAGTCACCCGCCCGCCAGCCCAAGCGCCTGGGGAATAAGAAACACGGCTTGTTTAGTCTCTAGAGGCGTCCAGTCCAGAGTCCAGGGTTCCAATTTGTCCCAAGCTTTTTGTTATAACCCTCGCATCCATTTCCTTAGTTTCCTACATATGCACGAAACATGCACATACACAACTTGGGGAACACAAAAGGATAGCAAGGTGATTGAGAAATTATTTCCAAAAATAATGGGTCCTGGGGCTTTGATTATAACAATTTTTTATCATTAGTGGAACAAATGATTTCAAATGAAAAGAACTCATCGTTCTTTCTCAACATGCTGCTATTTTTTTTGTTTAAAAAAACACAAAAGCAGATTGTGTGTTTAAAGTCAGAACTGCAAGATATATAGTCTCAATTACGTTTTTTTATTCCATGATGAAGTTGTAAGATGTAAACTCACAGCAGTGAACACACACACACACACACACAGCAGTGGGCAGCCAATGCTGCAGCACCCGGGGAGCAGTTGAGGGTTCAGTGCCTTGCTCAAGGGTACAAGTCCGACTCTCTATCCATTAGGCCACGACTGCCCCAATTGTGAGATATAAACTCAAAACTGCAAGATATAATCTCAGAATTGTGAGACATAAACTCAAAACTGCAAGATATAAACTCAGAATTGTGAGACATAAACTCAGAATTGCAAGAATAAAAGTCAGAATTGTGAGATAAAAAGTCGCAATTACATTTTTTTTTCTGTGGTGGAAATGGGCTTCTGTACTCTTCCTTATTAAGTCTGACAGTTCATATTAGTGACCACATTTGTGAGGCTACAAAATGACAAAAAACATGTAACTGTCAAAAGAGTAGTTATTATGACTCACAATCTTC